CCTGCTTGGATTGCTAACTATGACATCGTGGCAAGGGCTTTGGCGTCATACAAGGTTGGTTCTGACCGACTTGTTGCCCTGAATATCTTCTGCAAAGTCTTACTTTCCGTCGGGCAACACACATGCATGAGACATGCATCAATGGCTACGGTCGGCTTCCGGGGTCTTTCCTTCTGACGCCCAAGACGCAATGAGTTGATATCCAGGGCAACGTTCGCTCCTTTGCGGACGAAGAGCCCTATGAGGACGGATACGTGTGCCATACACAAGGTTTTCTCCACATGTCTCCACGCGCTTACAAGTGCTAGAGTCAGAGATGACATCACTCACTGGCCATTTCATTGAGTTGCTTGCAAGGCAGTAAGATTGCTTCGGGCACCAACTCGGATCAATCGCGCTCAACCATGGAAAGAGCATTTCACACGCCCTGCAAGCCAGCAGTTTTGCCCAACCCCCACTTCAACACCACAGGAATTGACTGCCCTTGGCTTGCTTGCGGTGTAATTGCAGGGCTTGCTTGCTTGGCCTGCTTGTGGCGTATTTGCACTTACTTGTTTGCCTTAGCCTCATTTGCTGGTAAACCTATTTTCTGTGCCAATTGCCCCTAGCTGATTTTTAAGGCATGGGGTTTTGTGCACTCCCGGTTTTGCTCACTTCGTCCCACTTCTAAGCTGACATGAACTATTATGAGATCAAAACCTGTTGTGTGCTTTTCATTTTCATTGATATGCACATGGGAGGAGCGAACTGCATTCCTTTTCGTTAAACAAAACATGAAGGTCTAGTAACCATGGGAAACCATCGCAACAGATCAGGAAGAATATGCAATGACATGCAGGCCCGGGTAAGCTATTGAACAGGGACACGGTTTTCAATCACATAGTTGACCTGATCGAGAACAACACTGACAAATCAAGTGACGATGACAACATATGACAACCGCGCCGGGCAGCCTTGAGCCCACTGAATGCCGCGTAGCACTACAGGTAGACTACGGGAATGCTACCGAAAGACTACAGCAGGACTATGGTAACATATGAACACTGCGGGAATACCAGGTGAAGACGAGAAGTTAGGTGGAAGTACAGCATTCCCAAAGAAACAGGGATAGCGGTTATAAGTTTGCAGCACTTTGCCATGCTGCTTAATTTCACCACAGGTTGGTTGGGCTCAAACCAACCTGCAGCAGCGCATTCTGCCCGCGAGCGACGTGCCATGGTAGATCTACCAAGCTCCCAGCCTTTGTCCACCATTGACCAACTACAGAATGCACCAACCACCCTGCCCATATGCCAACTGCCCCTCCCACACTTAAGCGAATACTCGCTATTCGCCTCGAGCAGGAGTTAGGACTGCCCGTTGGGCGGCTCTACCTGGATGGCGGGCCTTTGGATGCAATTGCCAAAGAGGCCGGACCTTGGCCTGTTTTGGATATGTCGGACGGCAGATATCGACTAAGACGTGCATATATTGTGTCATACCGTATCAGCAGCAAATTGAACGATGGCCGCTCGGCGGCCGTACGCAAACCCAGTATCCTGGACACTGCACGTTTTCATCCCGGGCAAGTGAGAGCAGCGTGGAAATGCTTGCAACATGCTCGCCTGACAGAATCCTTTGGTTGCCAAGAAGCATAAGAATTCTGCAGCTGGCGTGTACCTCTGGTATTCAGTGCAGTCAGCTAAAAAGCCGCTGAGCGCCTGAGCCAGAGGCCCACCCAAGCCTTCGCCTTCGGTGCTTCGTAGGTGCTGTGCCGTGTCTCGGGCCGCTTCTTCGGGTCCGCCGCCTTCATGGCCAAGAATGCCACGCTGGGCTGGGCTCCCGGGGGCGCGACGTCCGAAGCGGGGCAGCGGGGCGACCCAAACCAGAAAACCCGCCAGGGAAGCCCGGCGAATCCGTCAATCAACCGGGAACATAGATGGGTCTGGTGGTCAAAAAAAATGCTCTGCAAGTGGGCCGCAGCTTTTAGTCTATATGTTTCCATCGAGGGTTCCATGTCGGGCATCTATGGTTGACCCACAGCCGGATGTTCCTGTGGCTGAATCAGCAAACATCCAGGGTGACTACAAGGTCCCGTGCCCTGAAGCAAACACTCTGATTTTGCGTGTCCCTGGTCTCTACTCTAGAGCTACCTTTGATTTGACTTAGGACCTGATTTCGTCGTTGGGTTGTTTGGCGCTTCGGGGCTATTCTTCCCTGGTGTTGCAACCACAACAGAGAACTTCTACCTCTCTGCGAGACTCCGTGCCCCGCAATCCAAAGCCAAGTCCAAGCACCGCATGCGACAGGTTCCAGCGACTGGCGTCAGCATGGACTGCCTCCCGGCGCGGCAGCTCAGGATGAAAGCTGGATTCCGCTGGCTGGTTCTGGGCGTGCATGGCATGGCATGATGCTGGCTGCGGTTTATGAGTTGAGCCGGAGACCTTGAGTGAGTCTTTGGAAGAAAGCAACGCTCATTCTAGATTCCGGGGGCGTGTGGTGAATCAGCGGCCAAGAGATGCATTGTTTTCAGAAGCATGATGTGTACAGGGCATACCTGGCTTTCAATGTCGGCATGGTGCTGTTCAGCCTACATACAAGCCTTAGCCGCCCTTTGTGGCGTTGAATTCTTGGCTAATTAAGGTAGGCAGGCTAGGAAGGTGGGTTGTTCCGTAAATGTATAAATGTATAGAGTGAGGTTGGAAGTGTTTGCATGTTTGACTCGTTCGCGCTGGCCTCCTGTGAGGTTTGTTCCCTGCCTTTGCGATCGCCAGCAGCACGGAGCACAACGCCACAAGGCAGGTGCAAGTCATAATGGCTGCGTGGGCTGTGTGACGTGTTTGAGTTGGGTTCTGGAAGCGCCATGTTGCCATGGGACACGAAACAGGACGTCACTTTGCTGCTCGCTTCTCGATGTGTGTCATGGATAGATGGTGGCTTTACAAAGGGCCCCGGATAAATCCGGACCTCTCCGTTCCTTTCTGTTTGGAGCCCTGTTTGGCTAGCAGCGCAGGAAAGTCAAAGGAAGTTGCGGTTGTCCTTTTCCAGGACTCGAGGGTAGTTGCTGTGTTGTAGATTGTCCTGTTGTCACCGGTTTGTTTTTGGTGATACAAGTCAGTTGGTGGCAGCTTTTCGTTGGCCTCAAGTTGTTCTAGCCCTGAATGGTCCAAGCATGATTGTAATCGCATGCTCCAGGTTTGCGTACCTGGGCATGCCCAAGGTGCAGTCTGAGGACGGGACATGGCATGCAAGATCTTTGCGCCCACTTCTCAGAGCTCGGGATGAGAAAGTTGGCAAACTTTGAGTTGATTCATTTGGCTGTGGCTCAAAAACCCGGTACCAAAATGGAACCCTGGTAAGTGGAAACATGGACCAAAAACCTGCGTAACCCCTGCTGTTTAATTTTGAGCCACACCCATAAATATGAGATTCTGTTTGGTTTTTTTTTTAGTGCCCCCTTTCGTGGCTTGTTCAAGGAAATCCAGAGGGACGCCTCCCATTTTGTGGGTTCCTCGAATTTTACAGAAATCATATGGGTCCCTTTCAGCGCCCTTAATGGCGCGCGAGGCTTAGCACATATCGGGCTCCCAATGCAAATTGGAGGCTCGCAACGATCCTGTTGAGTAAAGTACTTGCGCCATGGCGAAGCATTGGGCAGCATTGACTCCGCTTAACAATGTAAAAGGACACCTTGATCATGGCAGGCATTCGTTCACCGAAGAAAAAAGGCAGCACTTGTAATTCAACGTTGTTGAATGCGTCAACCAAAATGCGTTTTGCTTCGAGGACTTTTGGCGCCACGAGGCAGAAGAACGGCTCTCGGCCTTTGTCAAGGCCTGGGCATCGATATGGTCATTTCGGCAATGGACACCTTTACGTGTACATTTACGTACACGTATATAATGTACTATGACATCAAATGATACCATACCTTGAAGCCTCATCGTATTCCGTGTGATCATTGTTGGTATTCAGCGTCCGTTGTGTTCTTATGCGATTACCAGAAGACGCAAACATTGGTTGCAGCGTCATCAGTACAAGCCATTCAACTTGCAGTCGGGCGCGAAGCATTTTAATGACTCAGATGACTCGACATCTATCGAACCGTTTCCGGTGCCCGTTTTTACCAACGCATATGCACGTCTCAAGAATCTCGAATGACTGCACTCTAGCCCTTGATGCACTGGAAAAGACCGGTTTTTCACTCCTGCTGGGCACATCAGCTGCTTTCCCAATTAATTGTGGCAATCTGATGATGATGGTTGTTGCTTGCCCGTTGCGTTGGCAACACCCAAACTTGCTCTTGAATATTTTGGTCGGGCAACCTCAACAGGGAGCATTTTGTGCCATGATCAGATGCAGCCAGACGACTTTTTGGTTTAGACCTGCGGTCAATTTCATTGCATGTCTGCCTTTAGCTTGGATCGTCCAGTTGGCCACTGGGCAGTGCTTTTTGCAAGATTTAGCATTATGTGTGACTCTCAGCTTTAGAAGGGATCAACGCTTGCGCTCACCCGGGGGTCATAGGGATCCCTTCAACAATGTGCAATGTTACAATGTGATCCGTGATGAATGGCGTGAGTCGAGCTATTCGAGTTGCGTGCTGCGCAAAGCTTGTAAAGATATCATTGTTTTCTCAACATGCAGTATAGCTAAAGAAGCATGTCACATTGATTGACTAGAATATGCACGATTTCAAGCCCCCACGCGCAATGAAAGTTGCTTGGTTACTATGGATACGGTAACAGCAGAGTGATGAATCAGTCCATCTATCAACCCGTTCAGTGGCACAGCCACACACATTTGTTGTTTCCTTCCGTTGGAGTTGGCTGTTAGAAGTTTAACCGTCAAGCACAACATCCGAAGCTCCCCATCACGTTTTGTGCAGGATTGTCAAGATGCTCTCGGCATGCATTTGAATTGGGGACACTTTGGTTAACAAAGTTAAACTCATTTACACGAAGATGTGAGTCCGCCAACCATGCTTGAGGGTCCATGCGAGAGCCATGTGACGTATGCCGCAAGGCTCAAATTGATGTGGACTGCGTAGCCCATTCGTCCCTCGTAGCTCGAGCCGTACGGCAATGGCCCGGCGCTTAAACGAGTTGGTGCCATGGGGTTCATTCCCGGAGGTGCCGAGTGCCTTTTGGCTTTCGCAAGCCCAAGTGACCAAGGGTGTCAGCGTTTTCCCCATGGGGCAACACTTCCTTGGGGTCATGAACAGAAAGAAGCGATGTTGTTTATCACGAAGCCGGTGTGCGTCCGGTGAGTTGTGCAATGTGCAATGTGCAATGTGCAGATGTTCTGTTATCGTTCCAGTTTTAGAAGCACTATAAGCACTCATGTTTGAGGCCTGAGTTTGGCCCGAGTTTGCGACTTCGGATTGGTAAACACAAGAAGACACTACTCAGAGCTGGTACCCAATATGGGAAATGATATACTTGGATCTCTTCTGGGATTCCGCTAGAGTCCGGATCAATCTGAATTTCACCTTCCGTGTTGCTGGGATTTCGCTGCATATCTTCATGGGCCAAGGGTGTCAATGACGTCCTGATCCCACCCTGTGCTCCGCGCTTCTCGGCGGGGGTTGGGTCGACCTCCGGGCCTTGGATGCGCCAACGATTTCACGCCCGGAAAAGCGGCTACTGACGCCGGGGTCTGGGTAAGCAGGACACCTGAGGAAAACACAAGCGCAACAGTGCGCCAGAAAGCTTGGAGCTGGCCGTGTTTTAGCATGGTTAGACTGATTCATTCGAGGGGGCCATCGGCACATGGCACGTAACATATGGACTCTTGCAAACTAGGCATACCAAGAGTTGCCACATGAACCGCAAGCAGTGCCAGATGAACGGCAAGCATGCGGGTGTGGCTCAAAACCAAGGACTCAAGGGACTGCAGTTCTTTTGTTTTGCCAGGCGGCTGACCTGCAGCCCCGACTCTCATTTTCGACCTAGGCGATTTGTGGTGACTGTTGCGCTGGCATGGGTTATCACTTATAAGCGTTTTTGCAGGCGTTCGATCGGCGAGACGGTTCCGTCGGCCTATTAAGCCATAGCCATTGTTGGTTACTCGCATTGAAACTGCGGGGGTCAAGTCTATGAGAGGAAAGGCCTTGGTGATTATGCTTTGCTCGACATCATATGCTTTCGGTGATGCCATGAAGGAAATCCGTCACGCAACCATCAGACAGCCTTAAGTATCCTCCAATAGAGCAACACGACATGAAAGGCAGACTGTTTGAGGGGGCTGTTTGAGATGCAGTTGTCGCCTACTGGACAACATCTACTTTTGTCAACGGGGTGCTGTTTCTTGGCGAAATCCCGGGGTGATGCGGGTGGTGTCGACCAATGAGCCTTGTCTCAGGTGATCAGGTGGAACAAAGCCCCAAAAACCTGCCCAGCACCCTTGCGTGTTTTTAGCGAAACGTCATTTGTGTGTGTGTGCCCCCTGTTCCTAACAGATCCTTCGCCTTTTTGCTTTTGATTGCTTTTGGGAGTCGGGTGCCACCATGGTGAGCAACGGCGTGAAGTACTGACAGCTGGGTGTTGGTACTCAGTTGAAGAGGATGCCCACTGTCGGGAAAGACGACCTGAGTGAGCCATTGCACGTTTCGGGGTGCGCCTTCGCAGTTTCGATGTCTTCCATCAAGTGTGTACCGGCACTGCTTCCGAGCCACGGTCAGTGTCGTGAGCCCTATGAGGCATTTGATTTGCCTCATGCACAGACCTTTTTTTTCATTACCGACTGACCTTTACCGCTGAGAGTGTTGGCACTCCGTTGAAGAAGGTGCCCACTGTCGGGAAAGACGGCCTGAGTGTGCCATGCCGAAACTCCAACCTGATTCCGTGCGTGTGTCTTCCTACGTTTCGGGGCGCGCCTTCGCAGTTTCGATGTCTTCCATCAAGTGTGTGTGTGTGCTCGCAAACGGCTTAAACCAATGTCTAGCCTAACAAGGGTCGGCGGGCAGGCGGGCGGGCGTGGGTGGGTGTTGTGGTGTTTGCGGCTTTCTCATCGCAACTTTCTTTCTTCCAACTCCCAGATGTCCGGACATGCGGGAAAAAAAGGGCCCTGTGGAGCGAGGATATCGTCCACTAGATCCACCAGAGCTGGATGTGGATTTGCTCAGCTTCGTGCTGCCGCCGGCCATGGATATTGATGCGGGCTATCAGTTTGAACGGCCCCCAATCGCTGGGTGGCCCAGGGCATGGACTGGGTGCTTTGGTGGCCTTTGACAAAATGTGCCACCAGCAGCAAGGGCTTCTTTGGGAGCTGCAAGAAACGGTTTCGACAAACACAGGTTACAATGAGCTGTATGTCAAGCCCGGGACCTAGTGAATGGGTCATGGGTTGCATGTCCTTAGAACTGCACACAAAGGCTTCCTGACTTGCGACGTGTTTCCACGCCCAAATAGCCGGAGGAGTCAAGTTGGCAATGCAGCTCAGCGGCCTCCGTTTCCACTGGGCTCAAGATGGTTCAAGTGGTTCCGCAACAAGTGAGATTCATGGCCGGGTTGGATTGAAGCAGGTTGCTTCTCGAGTTGGATTGAAGCGGTCGCGGTGTGGCTACATAGGTATCGTCTCAGCGAGTAGAGGAAGTTCGTCTCAGGGCTCCTGGAAACCAGCATTGACAAGGCAATGTTCAGGTGTAGAATGTAAGGATCCCTGTTCGTGTATTTGTCTTCTGGCAGGTTGGCTGACAGCTCTGACACCCACCCCCGACTCAGGATGAACAGAAAGGAGTTCCCTATGTCCGCCTACAGGGCGAAGAATGTGTTTTAAGTGTGATGTGTGAATCACCCCATCCGTAAAAGCAACAGCTGCTTGCAGTAATTCCAAACGGATATGTGCAGCTTGCATCAGGAGGAGTTTGCCCATCATCTTTGGCCTCCTTCCAATTGCTGGTACCAAGCAAGAGCCAAACATAGGGTCCTGATGCGAATGCGACTCCAGAGGTCCTGATCCCACTTTCACCTTTTGTTTGCGTTCCACAGCTTTGCTCACATGGACCAAGTGAAACTTGGGGAAACCTCTGCTCCATTTTACTTCGCCTGTGACCTCTGAATTTGTTCGTTGGTCACGCAAGAGCCACCGATTTTGCGCTTCAGCTAAGCGTGTGCACCCCCGGGATCACCCGTGCCAAACCAGCCGGATTCGAAACGAAATCTGACTCCGGCCTCGGAGGATTCGAAGCCCATTCTGCAGCTGGCAACTTTTGAAAGTGCCTGGAGCGAAGACAATGCGAATGGCCCCTAGTGCTGCAATGGGAGCAAAACCCCGAGTTCCCACGGGCTGGTCGAAGTGAGCCAGAAGGATAAAACGCGTCCTTTTCTTGCTGTTTATTTACTGTACAGGAACCTGACTTGTACTGGTTTCGTGGCTTTGAAGCAGCCCTGGAGAGTGTAAGAGTAGTTTGTTGGCGCTGTGATGTTTCTGTCACGTCGGAGCTACATCACATAGGACACAGTAGAGACAGGGTGCAAGGCAACCTCTGAATGTGCGTGTGTGTGTCTGTGTACACTCAGACGGTACCAGGTTCTGAGCATAGAGAACATCGGCCGGCGTGGTGGGATTGTTTGAATGGAGCTTATTCTACAAACTGCAATTACATGGAACAAAAGAAACCTCTCCTCGCGAGTTGGTGCATTGGAGCACTTTGAAGGGCCACCATGAGCTGTGATGTTTTGTGTGAGAGGCTACTTGTGCAACTCCATTTGGTTTCGCTTGCAGCTTTTCTTTCAACTTGGGCAAGCAATGAGAAGCACTTGCTTCAGAAGGTGGTAAAGAAGGTGCCCTGTAGGGAAACTGGTCTTGCCAAAATCAGTATCAAAGGACAATCCTAGTGACGCATGATTTCACTGGAAAGGACACGTGGCCCTCGTTGTTCTTGCCAATGCAGCGTGAGGGAATCTGTTTGATGTTTGAGGTGCAAACGTGGCCACGAGAGTAGTTTGAACCCATGATACGGATTTTGAGCGTCGTTGCTGCTCTTCTAAATTTGCATTCGTACTTGGTTTGACTGCTTGTTTGGTGGATTGCTTGTTTGTCGTTATTGTTCGTCCTGCAGGGCTGGGTGTTCGGTCTATCATCAGTTTAGCATAGCAACAGTTGGTTGGGTGGTTAGTTAGTGTGGTTGGTTGATGCTGCTCGGGCTGCTGATGTTGGTGTTGTTGCTCTTGCCGTTGCCGGTCAATTGTGTGCGGTGTCGCTTGGGTTGTTGCTTGAGCTGTTGCTGTTGCCGTCGATTTTGCATTGCTTAACCTTGAGGTGTACGTGTTGAGTGCGTTGAGTGTGTTGGCAACTGCCATTGCGTTCATCCCATCTTTTGATTGCTTGGCTCACGCAGAGCAAGTGCTGTTGCGCTCATGTCTTTAACACATGTTACATGTTCATTGGTTTGGGTTTTTGGGTAGCTGTTTGAAGTTGATTGGACGACTGCCCCGCTGGTCTCCCTCCTGTGTGGCCAGCTGCAGCAACCTGTTCGGGATATGTTGACAGACAAGATGGCGATGATTGCTCTCAGTCAATCAAGTACCATCACATCTTAGGGACAAAAGTCCAAAAGGCGTTTTTACAGGCATGTTAAGTACACCCGCGGATTTGTGCAAAGGCTGGCCGCGAGGCAAAGGCATACCGTGATTTCCACACATTTCCACACGTTGCTTTCTCCCCAGATGTGAGACGAGGCCGAGAGTGAGACCTTGGAGCCTCCAGTTCCAAAGCGGACGGAATGGGTTTGACTTCTTTGGTTTGAGATCGACGTACGGATTGGTGCAGTTTGTGTAACGCAAGGTTCCGTACCGGAGTTCCTGCATGTGACAGTTCATTTGGAACACGTCTCATTTTATACAGACTCGTTTGACTCGACTGAAGAGGACACCACCATCTTTGACCCTGAACACTTTCCCTGGTTCCTTGCGGCTGTTTAGAAACTGATTCCAGTGTTTCTGCAAGCAACACTTCAAGACCTGACATTGCATCTGGTCAGCACCTGCTGTTGAAATTCCTACGCACCAGATGATCCATTGTGTCATTCTGGCGCGCGCTTTTGGAGGGTAGCGTGTTCTGTTCGGCTTAAAGGGAAACCGAAAGGCAAGAACCACCACACCCAATTTTGAGACACACCCATTCTTCAAGGCGGCATCCGAGGCGAGTTCCTCCCAGAGGCTAAGATCGGCTCTATGCTCTTTCAGGTGATGATGGCAGCTCGGGACAAGCCGCATTTACATGGTTGGTTTGCAGTCGGTCTATTTCAGGTGGGCCCTTCTTTTTTTTGTTTTTTTCCTAGGTTTGGCGCGGCCGTTTTGCCGCGTGGTGCTGGGGTTGTGGCTTGCAGGTGAGAAGGTTGGTCCAAATCGTTGAGTTGATGTCGAGTTGCAGAAAGGGTCCCTGATTTTGAGCGTTGCATAGGTGAAATGCACAAACTGTCTTGGGGTGAGAACAGCCGTGCCACAGTAAGATAGATGGCCGTGACCGTGGTGCAGCTTTGGAGTGTGTTCCTTTCGTCTCCTCTCGTGGCTTGCAGTCTAGCGGTCCTGCGATTCCCAGCTCCGCCCGTTGAATTCGGGGTTGCACAGGGTGGAGCAAGCAAGCCCATTTCGTGAGTTGACGAGGCACGCACAGCGAAAGACAGAGAGGGAGAGAGAGCGAGCGAGAGAGAGCGAGAAACACAAACACATACAAGCACACACACACATTCATAGAGAAAAACGGAGACAGACACAAACGCAGACACACGGACACACAGACAAACACACACTCATTAGTTGCTTGCCCACCCGTACGAACACTTGCAGGCACCCCATGACCCCCAGATGGCAGGGCCTTCCTGCCCGCACGTACGAAGGTGCAAGCCTTCAGTCTTTGTAAGCATGGTGCTTGCTGTGGGATACCCAGAGCTGGAAATGAGGAAGGTTTCCATTCGCTGAGGCTTTGATCCCGGAGAATGCGACGCCTGTCAACAAGGCCAAGGACCCTGTGATAAAGGGCAAGGTCCTTCTTGGGCTACTCAATGCCCAATCAGAAGTCAATAATGCAACACGGGTTACCGGACTTCAGCGCGCAACCTGCTCATAGTACGGCGCAGTGGATGTTGACATATGTTGCTGACAGCTGATTTACTGGTTGACCAATAGTTATGGGGCTGCACCAGATGGACAGAGATAGTATATGAACCAAATAGCACAAACAGCTACATTTCATGCGGAAGAGGCCAGGTTCATGTACTTGCACACAACATTTGTTTGCTTCGACCTCTTCAGCAGGCTTGCCAGTTCCCGTGCCGTGGATAGTTCGAACTTGGATGGATCATCATTGCCTTCAATATTTATAGAGACCGGGTGTTGGCGGGGATGTGATTTTAACATGAAACATGCTACGAGCACCCCTTCTGTATATATATATATATATTATATGTATCAGCAATACTGTCAAGCGTAACAACTTCCTCTCACCGACTTAGGCAGACAGCTTGATCCGTTTGCCACTGTTGGGTCGGCAAACATCAACCCTGATCATTTCGTAAGGGCTCCTAAGGTCATTTGCAGCTCTTGGAGTAGACTTAGGAGACATGTTACATTTTACCAGTGACTCAAATTGAAGCAAGCCATAAAATATACATTATTATACTGTAACTGGGCCTAACTCTAATCATGTTCGCTCCCAAAGTGGAACCTGACTGAGGGTGGAGGAGGATGGTCTGACGCTCCACTTTGCCAGGACGGAGGTGGCCGCCTTCCAAAGGAAGTGCGGCCGCGTGCGCCCCGGCTGAAGCCGTCCCCGCTTCCATTCACCTTGGAAGAGGCGGGCGGAGGGCAGAGGGGGCAGAGTTCGGTCAACTCGAAAGGGTGTGCTGCTGGAGCAAACTTGCTTTTGTCCGGGTTCGCTTGAATCAGTTGGACCGTGAACCCTAGGTTTTCAAAAGTGAGAAGTCAAACAAAGTTGCCATGTTCGTACTGCAGCAAGCTGCAACTCAGTCATTGGTTTGGGGCATCTCTGTGCAGTGAATTGCCCACGTACCTTATTTGCAATTGAACGTGGCGCTATGCTCAGCCTTTGGTGAGATAGTAGCAAGAGTTGATCAGAGACCGAGAAAACATCCCACAGGCCAACTTTGAGGCTTTTCGGTTTACAAGGCTTGCCTTGCTTATTGCTCTTTTTCTTCGGTTGGTACCGTATCAACGAGATGATACCTTGTCCCGGAGAGGTTTGCTCGCTCTGCTTGCCTGGCACCCCGCGAGCGAGACAATCGCCAGCTTTGGGTTGCCATGCGCAAGGTAGTTTTGGCGCCGCTTGCTGGACCCCTGTCGGGAACTCTTCACGAGCTCTTCACCATGGCAAAATCAATTGGGTCAGCACCCAAAAAGCTGCTTGATGCTTGTGGAAGTCGGGAGTTAGGCGTCATGTTTGTTTGCAATGCCCCAGAAGGTGCAGCGGCTATCTCTACTTTTTATATTTGAAAAAATACACATGTAGATATGTTTATCCATTGTGATATAAAGGTATAGATCATTTAGGTTCTTCCCAGCGACACTGCAACCCCAGCCTGGAATTTGGAAATATCAGGATGGATGGCCTGCAGCCGCGTAGAATCCTGTACAACTTTGCATGTTAAAGTGCCCTTCCTTCCGAATAATTCGACTTGAGAGATCATTCCTGGTGAACTAGTCCCTTCCCCCCTGATGCTAAACGTCCCCCCGACTAATACTGGGAAAATCGGTTTTAGCATCAGGTCCCCGGTGCGTTTTGGGAGAACCGTACTCCCGGAGCTCTGGCTCGAACGTACAACCGTGGTTAGGAAACGTACTCCCGGCTCCCCCTAATAGGACTGGATTTGACCACGGGCGGGAAAATACCTACTGTAGAGTTGGTTTGGCATTGGCTATTCTAAAAGTAGTATGCCCGGATTTGGGATTCTCAAAAGTCGGTTTTAGTACTGTAGGGGAACCTTTCCACATTAGTTGCAGGGTGGCTAAACTGCTGGAAACCTATAAACTCTTTAGACAGCACGTGAAGCACTGGCTTGTAATGCATACCGTTATAGAAAGAACATATTAATTCTAGTTAATGAAAAGAAAGGGAAATAATGTGATGTGAGCGGGATCTTTCTGTAATAGCGGTTCATCTCTGAGATTCCTTCGCCAATTATAAAACCAAGAATACAGACTGGGAAGGGAATGCCAAGAGATCCTAATGCATTCTCACTCCTCTCTTCGTTCGGGAGTTAACCTGTGTCTCAGAGACCGAACGGATAGACGGGTCAGGGATGAGAGACAGGAAACCGCTATTACAGAAAGATCCCGCTCACATTATGTCCTTCCTGTCACTTATCACCATCTCACATTCTTTCCTTTTTGCTTCATTAATTAGAATTAATATGAGAAGAACATGAAAGGGAAAGAGAAAAGGGAGAAGTGACCGCATTCCTCATCTCTTCGTCATAGCGGTTCATCTCTGAGATTTCCCTTGCTTACAGTCCTCTCGCCGCTGCCACTGGCTATTGGGACACTTGGATATTTGGATCGTGTAGGAGGGGGATCAACAGATTCACCCTTGATAACCACTGTACGGAGCCCTTTCTTCGCCCAACTCAGGAAACCAGGCTCATTCCCCACATATTTACATGTAAGTAAATCGGTAAGTCCTGGCCACTGCCTTCATAAACTTGATTTCCCTTCTAAGTTGCATGAAGGCGTTGCAACCGTTGCAGCCAAAGGTGCTCATTTTCGTGACTAAAAGCTTCCATTCGTATTGACTCCGAGGGCCAAAAGAACTTCACGGTTTTTGCAGGATTGGCCAAAGATCTCTTTCTCCAAACAAGCTTTGTCTTGTTTTGCAGTATGTTGGGCAAATGATCGATGGTGTAGCTGTTGTATCAGGCTCAATCCAACTCAACTGGCGAACATGCGCCACGATGCCAAGCATGTCCATTTGGTGTGTGTGTGTGTGCTTTGGCGGGTACCCAAACGATAACCAGGATAGCCACTTAGGGGTCCCCCTATTTCAGCAGTGTTTTGGCCCACCCCCTTAAAAACATGGAATTGGAGAGGGGGTGACCCCTAGAATTCCATTTGTGGTTCCATTTTCCCTTTTATGTGGAAGACTAGATAAATGGAATTGGGACCCCCCACCCCCCTCCTCCTGAAGGTAGGGCCAGTTTGAGGTTTGCAGAAGTCCCAGCGCCTTGCCAGGTCCCTGAAATGAGCCTGCCCCTCGCTGAGGCTCGTCGGTTGTGACACCAAAACGTGGATTGATACGAACATGCGCTTATTCATTCATGAACTGTTTGGCCCAGTTCGACAGGTAGAAATGCAATCTCGGAGCTTGGACGGAAGCTTCTGTGCCTGAGTGTTGCTTGTTGGACAGGCCTTTTGTTCTTGCGGTGCCAAAGCTGGCAAATGACTGCAATTGTTCAGACTGCACTGACGTCAACACCAAGCGGGACTTGAGTCATGATCTTATGCCAGCGATGGCACATGTTTGACAGCAGATGCAAACAAGATAAACCTGGCAGCTCGCAAGGACCATGCGACATTTGATGGCTGCGCGCAACCAACCAACAAGAGACTGATGTTGTGAGATTCAAGAGCCCCTTGCTGCTGCAGAATTCCCGGCAGATACTAAGCCCGTTGAAGGGCGTGTGGGTCTCAGTCATTTCGAAACCCTGTCAGTCAGTTTGCTAGGCCCTCTCAGGACCTAAGATGAGGCCGCCACACACACACACACCTGCCAGGTTGGTTCTTATGAATTTCACCCTCCCCCCCAAAATGAGCCTCAAACCACGGCCAGAGTTGGCATCGAAAGGATACGGATACAGATGTCTACGCGGAGCTTGAGCAGTTGAAGCCGATGATCAGCTTCCAGGAGCGGAAGTTCCCACATAACCGTTTGGGATCCAGTGGGGGTTGGGATGTTCACTGGTTTAGTCTATGTTGGTGGGGATTGGGATGTTCACTGGGGGTACGATTTGGATTTTGACCCATGGCCACATGTTTCATGCGCGAGATGTTGCATTTGAAGGGTATTCGACTGTTTGTATAACACGACGATGGCTCGAATCCGCGTGTCAGTCAACCCCCGCTCGTTTGCAGGGGATGGCAAACTCGTAAGGTAGAAATGCCAAACGTGGCAAAAGGTCAAGATAGACATGCAAGATCACTTTGTGGCAAACGCCAGAGGCCAGCGCAATTACATTGTCGGCTAAGGGTCTGGGGTTAACGAGCGCAGGGACATGAACTTTCCGGAAGCCTTTGACCAAAAAAATGCAAGGGGATGGTTGTCTAACCAGATTTGAGGGTGCCGTAAGCTCATAGCCCATAGCTCTAGCATCAACATGTGTGTTCTTTGTTTGTGATAGAATTCCAAGCATGAGATAGTTTAGACAGAGTACTCGAATAAAAGATAACAAATCCCTTGTTCACAACCTGTTGCCAGTATATGTGCCGATGTATGCCAATCTAGTTTTGCCATTAAGGGCAGCTCTTCCAGGCCAGTCCCCCCGCTAAGAATACAGCCCCCGGGTTAAATATGGCTTTCTCTGGAAAATCAAAAAGAAAGCCTTGCTTTTCATGGAGGCGGCCAAGGGCTGAAGCCTGGACGAATGGGGAGGGACCCCACTTTTTGTTTAGGCGTCCTGCGGCATTTGGAAAGCTTTCCGAGGAACCAGCACATGCAGGGCGACCAGGCTTTCTGGGGTGGCTTCACAACGCGGAAACTCTTGAGACGAGCTGCTGGGCTGCAGACGTGCAAGGTTGAGCTAGCACAAAGTCCACCCTGATTCCAACCTTCCAGGAGCCCTACAAATTCTATCGAAAGGGCTCAAATATTCAGAGCCCAGAGTAGCAGACAGAGTGCTGGCTTGCTGGGGAACATGCCGGCATATGTGCATTTACTTTAGATCCTTGAGTTGGCAGCTCCTTGCTTGTGGTATTTATATATATATATGTAGATATTCAAGAGGTAAAATGTGGATCTTGGGGGGGGGAGGGGGTGACCATATATATATATATATATATGTATGTATATATATATATATCAAGCTGTTAGCCTAATTTTCTGCCAACCGAACCGTTTTGCATTCGCAGCCCCGAGCCCGAATCAAACGCTCATTTCGCGCAGACGAGAGGCGCAATAAAACCCAAAGGGGTAAACAATCGTTTACGTAGCTTCTTTGGACATGTGATTGGCTGTGTGTTTCATGCTGGCTAAACTGCTAATGCATACCCAATGATCATGGTTGCGTGCAACCGCCTAAACTCGCATGCCAACGTGCTAATACAGGAGCCTTTACGATCTAGAGGTTCGCAGACGTGCTGTAGATGCATCAATGATGAAGTTGCACATGTTGTTCCTCAATTGGGGCCCCTTCCTTTCATAGGCTGCTTCAAGGGAAACATTGCTCCACCAGTTTACTCCGTTTCTGTGCGCAGCGGCAATCATGGCCTTGTCATGATTCAGGATTTTCTACTTGCATTGGCCTTTTCGCGGGAGGCTCCTTTTCGCGCATTGTGCGAGTCAGCTCAGATTTTCTGACTGGCTGTTGCTGGCACTATTGATTTTCCCAGCAACACGTATCCGTGGCTGTAGATTCTGGATGCCCTCAAGATTCCCTTGAGTTTGACCGCCATGTTCCTCAAGGTTTCCTTTGGTTCCATGGACAAAAGAGCCCATTCGAGGCACTGCGTTGGAGAAGCACCTTGGCATCCGAAGGGGTCTGAAACTACGAGGAAATATGGGTGCTTTTTTTCTTGAGGGTACCCTTCTTCGGGTTGGTTTAAAGGGAAGGCACAAGGCCACCACTTAGTTCAAAAGAGGGTTGCCCTCTTTTGACGCATCCCAATATGTCTTGGGAATGCCTGAAGTGATCTCACAGTGCTGAAGGATGCCTGCAAACAGTTTGCTTCACGGTCAGAACTGCCAGTTTTAGGTGGCCTAAACAATTCACTCTACAACACGGGTGACCTTGTGAAACGTGTGTGTGTGTGTGTTTGTAAGTGTAAGTAATTATGTGTGTGTGAGAGTGTGCGTGTTTCTGTGTGTGAGAATCCCCAGATGTTTTTGTTGGTCCGAGCGTGGCAGGCACTTAGCCCCCCGGGTTGCACAAGACTCATCAGCTCTCTTGACAGGTAATTGAAGAGCTTCCCTAGAGGGTCTCGATATCGTAACAGATTCCTTCTGATGCGTCGTGTTGAGGCTCCGATGTTTCTTCCTTGTTCGCGAGAATCTTCAGAGAATCTTCGAGACACGAGCTGGGCGTTTTCCCGCAGTCGTTCGAGGCTTTTCCGCCGAACTGGCGGCAGGCAGGAAAGTCCTTCCCCGTCAACTTGCAGAGTGAGCCGTTTGTCTTATGTAACCAGCTGATGAAAATGTAAATCAAAACACATCGAGTCCTTGTGACCAGCTTTCGCACCGTCAGAATCCGATTTTTTTCTTTTGCGCGTGTCGAAGGGGACCCCTCTCTCCGAAGGTCGGCTGAAAAATCCGTAAGGCCAGCCGGGCGGCTCTTTGAAGGAAGCTCGCGTGTAACCATGGCACTCAGGAAGCTCGCCTTGGATGCGGAGAAACGTCCGAGGGCATCGACATGTTCCACTTGCGTGACGCTTTCAGACTTTGCGCCTGGCCACGAGTTTGTTCACCCGCGTTTTGCTTGGCTTTAACAAGTGGGGTGCGTTTTTGCAAGCAACAAAATATGCCACATACGGATTTGAAGATTTTTTGGGGGCCACTTATCAGGAAAGTGCCGTTCTCGGCATTTGGCATGGATTTGGGTCGCGTCCTTGTTCAACTGAGCTTCTCCAAGCTGTTGTCGAGCTGCAGACAACTCTGTCCATCTGTTGCCTCTCCAGTTCGGACCTGAACGGAATTATTGCCTTTTGAAGAATTATCCAGGATGGCGCCCCCTTTTTCGTGTTTTGTGTTAACACACATGCTCAGTTCGTGCTGATCCCCTCTTGAGACCCGGCAAGAGTTTATGTTCATGCTGTCAGATCGGAAACGTGAGCGAACAACGCGCTGTTTCAACACGCACCATGTTCAGCCTTACTATTCCAAAGATTTCACGCACAACATGGTACACAGTCCCGTTCCAGCATTTTCGCAAAAGATAGTTGTCTCCCCAACCCATCGGTTTTGTGCTCAAGAGCTATGACATGCACACCGGCTTTCTGCATTGACCAAAGCCAGTCAGATCTGTGTCTAACTCAGCGGGTTTGCTGATTGGCCATGAGCTCCGGTGAGCTCCTGGGCACACTTTCCATGTTTCGTTTGGAATCGCTGGAGCTCGCATGCTTCTCATGAGCGCGGAGTCAGTGGAAGAAGCATGCTGCTCATGTTGTGCGGGCAATATTTGGAACGGGCATACTTCTCATGTTCGGCGGACAGGAGAATCTATGGAGCAAGCGTGCTTCTCATGTTCTGCGGGGATCACTGAAATAAAAGATTTGCTTTTTGGTAGCAAACACATGTTTGATGAGAATCCATGTGAATTCCCATGACAAATGAGACTAAGCCAGAAGGCGTGTTGCAAAGAAATGTGGGCTTAAAACATGAATTCCTCGTGCCTGCCAACAAAAAGACTCACGATTGCCCAAGCACGCTTTGCGGGTCAAATTAGCTTCACCTGTTGGGCGAAACTCGAATTCTTCGCAAACCGCCCGACAAAAACCGACCCGGCGGATGTTTTTGTGAGTCCCTTGGAAGAGCTTCCAACAACTAGCCTTATCGTTGGCGCTGTGGAGAGATCCTTGACAAATTGCGTGTGTTGATCCCTCAGATCTATTGAAAGTCACGTTTGGAGCCTTCAACAAAGTAGAGCCTCCCGCTGTGGATCTGTTCTATCTATTCACAAAGTATAGCATCATGGTAGTTTCCATTTCAGACGTGTCAACAAAGTACAATGTCTGCGTTTCGCGTTCGGCCCTTTTGGAGAACTGTCAATAAAGTGCAGTGCCGCTTTTTGTTTTGAAATTTGTCCTTGTCGCATTTTATAGTGTTCGACGGATTGAAGCGTGTCTTTGCAGCAACCCATGGCGTCTCTTCAATAGTATACGTGTTGGTCCCTTTTCGAGAGCCTCTAAAGCATTGTTTAGACCTCACACAGGGAACCTGTTCCTGGCCCCCATTGCCACGGCTCCTGCCCCATGTTCTCTCAGCTTTCGGCCCAGGACGGTCCCAGGTCCAAGAAAGAAGTCGAGGGCTGTCGGCTCGTCTAGCCGCTCGTGGGCAATTAGAGGCTGCCCTTATCGGAACTGGTTTGAACGGAACCTTGGAGTTCCCCTCTGCCGCATAGCCGATGTTCGGGTCACCTTTCCATTTAGAAACTCGGCACCTTCGTGTGGCCTCATTCTTGACAGATATGCGGTGGAAGCACAGCCAGACTTAGCTAGTCTGATATGCTTCGTGGCCATTGGAATTGGTGAGTGCTTGAGTGGTGGTTTGGGCAGGAGTGGAGACCTGTGGAAATTGGTACATCATTGGATTTAGCCGTGCCATTTTCCAAACACACATCCCATCATGTACCGTCTACTCTTATCCACACGTTGTTGCTGTTGAATGGTTGATGGTGTCTTGTAGAACCGTATTCCAATCACAGTATCTGATGTGCCCCGATGCTTCTTCTGATAGGAAAGATGTTCGCTTTGATTTATGTGGCACGGCCCTCGTTGTGGTGTACTTTTGTTCAGGTTTTCTGAGTGCCTTTGGGTAATCAGACACTTCATAGTTGCTTGGCTGTCAATTGTGACTTGCCACATCATGTTGTTCGATATTGATGCTTGCAACACCTGAAACTAAGTGATAGACACACACACACACACATGGCACTGAATGTAGTCAGACTGAGCGTACGTAGCACCTCACCTTTGAAACAGAAGAATGGTTGTGTTCAAATTATGCGAGATGGACTCTGGAAGCGCTCCCCAAAGCCGAGCGGTGATGTATTCAAAGGGCTTGTCACCGAGGAACAGAGAGGACTTTCCTCAGAGACAATCATGCTCCTCTACATGAAAGTTTACGTTTTCAGTGTTGCCTTGATTTGCTACAACCGAACCCACATGCCCATGGATCGGGCATGGTTCACATCATGTGCGGGAAGCCAAACATCCCAACACCGCCTTCCATTTGAGACTCGACATCCGAGAGTTTCTTGAAAGGGCCACTGTTTGGATGCTAGAAATTTGAATCCACGCCTCGCCGATCGGGGCGCCGACTTGGAAGCCACGTGAGGACTGAAAGTCGCGGGATGCTCCCATGATTCTCCAAAGAGACACCCAGGCGCCGAGTTGTACGAAGTTGAAAGAAACACTGACTCATTCATTGTGCGAGAGGGCTCAACACGGATCACACGTGCCCGTTTTAAATCGGGACTCTGGATACGCTTTTTTTTCTTCTTTTGCAGGCTTCCCTAGAAAAGCCTGCCTGGTCCAAAAATGTGACCCTGGGAAAACCAGGTGCTCAACAATGAGGTACCTCAATAAAATAGGGCACCGTGCTTTCCCAGGGCCATGCCTTCCAGACCCTCGAGTAGATACTCGTATGGCAAGCTCACTTGCGAATAAAGCGACCTCACCATGAAGGTCCTTTGCCTGACTCAGGAATCTCTTATTTCAGGCTTTTGAATTGGTTTTGTAAGTTTGCACATGTTAACCCTGGCAACGTAGAACCTGACAGATTGCGTTCCAGTCGAAAGCAAAACCGGGCTTCAGGTGCCTCAGATTCAGATGGTCCAGCTTCATACTCGTACTCGTAGCTCTAAGCCGAAGGCCATTCGAAATTTGTGACAGATGAGGAGAGGAGGACACATTTGCCGCGAAGGGTGACATGCAACCAACAGAAGGAACGGTTCTGAGTTCTGTTTCAATTTCTTTCCATGGAGAATCATCAAGTTTGTTCTTATACTTTCCTTGGAGCCCAAAGTGCAAGATCAACAATGCCCGGATTTTTTAGTCATTGTGTTTCCTGGGAGTTGTGATTCCTTGTGCCAAGGCTGTGCACCTTGGTAACCTCCTATGGGAAATTGTCAGGAGCAAGGCTTGCCTCAAAGCAAAATTCAGGGAGAGAGCCGAGCCTACCGACACAAATGATCAACCATGAAAGACTCCCTGCCCCGCCGTGCTATGAAGCGTGCAGCCAGGCCAAAGGGCATCGTTGATGGGCGATGTGAGGCGTATCGATGATTTCCTTTTAAGCAATGGCAATTTTCTGCAAGCAGAGCCTATAGGGTTCATGACACGCTCTTTGTTTGTGAGCGGTGCGTACTTTTGGCAGCCCAAAAGATTGTGATCTTCCTAGAGTGCTCCTTGAGAAGGATCCGGGAAGCGTTCGATCACAAAATCCAGGTTTCGGGGGGCAGAGAACCCCAGGATCCTTCTTGACGCCTGTGCAGGAGCTCAGGAGCTCTGAAAGATGTTGTTGTCACGAATCCCAGTTGGTGGCTGGAGAGGGTACATTGAGTTAGCTCTCTGGCCACGATATAGATGCTTCCGAGGTGCAACTTGCCGATGTGCTACTGCGCCTGAGAGTTGTTTGGGAGAAACCGAGGGCTTACTTTGTGTGCGTGCACCTACACGCATGCGGGTGCTGAACAATTCTGTTGAATATACTCGACAAATTAAGACACTGGTCGAGATGGTCCGGCCAACTGCTTCTGTGAGACGTGCGTGACGTTCTTTGTTAGCTGTCGTGAAACCCACAGCATTATCTACATGGAAATGACAAGGACCAGGCCGTGAGAAGTTCTTGCTCTTGGGCATTCTCTGGCCTTGTTTACCCCGAAGGCCCTGATTTCCTTGGGAGGTTTGCTGCATGTGTTTGTCCGTAGCATGTTATGTCGAATTTATGTAAGTACAGTTCTTGTCCATTGCTTTCCCCTAAAAACCCATGGGCCATGGGGCCATGGGGCTTTGGCTACGGTCCTCCTTCAACGTTGGTTTAGTATCGATTGTTGGATCTATAGTATCCCCTATACGAGTGGAGTTGAGTCCGTGGGATACTTGTTGGTTTATAATCGACAGATAATGGCCTAGTTCCCAAGTGTGAATTGGTAGATGAGGGGGTCTGAAAATGTGATTAATCAGTCAACTGCGTTACCAGATGGAAAGCATTTGTGGAACACCCCCTCCAACATGAAGGGAAGCCTCTAGCAGAGGAACATATATGTTTCCGTTGACATAGCACTGCGTTCAGGAAGACTGAATTCCCAAGACGTTCCTTCTGACAAAGACCAGATCATAATGAAGCAGGTTAAATGCTTGTGAATGAGAGAGTAAGTTCCATGCATGGCACGCATCTTGTTCACGCCAAACAAGACTCGTTTCGACAGCCAATGTCGCAGAGTTCTGAAACTGCATGCCACGCTTTCAGGCATTGGTTTGCCCAACGGGATGTTTCTGCGCTCTTCCCGGCTGCCTAAAATGCCCAGTCATCGGGCATAATACCATTTGACCAAAGGCGTTCCTTAAAGCCCATTGCTTTGTGTGTCAAGAGGGACCCTTTGAGGATGGTTTGTGAAAGATAACCAACATGAAATATGCTAATGAGGAGCCCGCGTAACACGAGCTTGCCATGATGGTCCCTAACTTGGGGATCCCTGATAGGGTTTGCAGATTAAGTGAATTGGTTTCATGCCACTGACAGAACTCCCAGCCTCTCAGCGACGCTTCTCTTCCGCACTGGATAATTCAGGCCCCCGAGCCGCTCACCATTTGGAGGTTTGGGTGCCTGGCTCAACCGGCGGGTTCTGCCCCCCATTTCATTCGTGAGTTGCAGCTCAACGCGCACGTTCAGGTTCAATCAACATGCGAAGCTCATTGGCGTGTTTCACAAAGGCCGCAAATTACATGCTAGTGTTAAGTGTTTTGCACTTGGTGCGTAGCTAAAGAGGCGTGCGCTGCAACTCCATCGAGGCGTATTTCCGCGCTGCAATTCTACGCCATCCGACAGTAAGAGAGTCACACTCTGCTTTTAGCAGGTAAGCAGCCGAATCAAGAACAATCTTCCTCATTGAGATCGGCCAAGACACAGAGAGCGTGTCGAAGATATCTACAGGCAGCTACGGTGAAACTTGCAATTGTTCGGCCGGTCATTGATGCAAAGGACTTGCCTTCACCCGCTGCGATCTCCCCAGCGGGGGTTCATCCACTTGGAGTGATGGCGAACGCAGTCCATTCGTGGAACCAAGCCTCATGCTTTACTTGTGCCATGTTTGTTGTGACACTTTTTGTGCTTTTCATTCTGGACCGAAGCCGAAGCAATTTCGAGATGTGGCTTGCTGATAGACTTGACATGATTCCCTGCCACAGAGTGAGGGGTGTTTTTTTCCCACAAGGGATCCTGTAAGTCGGCAACGCTGGGCTTTGCGCAGAGCTGCATCACCGCGTATGATAGCTTTACACAGCTTCACATTGACAACTCAACGTGGCAAGATATTCGGGATTTGGTGGCTAATTTGTTGAAAGGTAACTGTTGGACGTGGTTGCTTTGCCTTCGCAACCGTTCTTGTGTGTGTGTGCGCGTATGGGGTATTGTGCATATCGCAATATCGCCAATTAGTGTCCCCTAAAAAGTTCTCATTCGGAGTGCAACTACAATGGTGCGCTGATTTTACCTGTCTTGGGCTTGAGTCTAAGGGTGGAAGTACATACCCCTTGTTCATACCCCTTTGCTTCCCTGGTTTCCAAGCCACTTTAGAAGGGGTATATAGCCGTTTTGCGGAGAGGGGTATGAACATCCGCAGGCCTTTTGGTTTCATTTGCCCAAGGGGTATGTAAAAGGGGTTTGTACAAGCACGCCTGGATTCAGCCTGCGGATTTTTTGTTCAGTTATGTTTGTTGAATCCCTTGGCTTGAACCGAAACAGCATCACAAACTCAGCCTTGCAACTGCCAAGAGCTGTGCTCTTTTTCGTCTTTGATTGGCACGAGTCACCTAGAAACGATTGCGATACTGAGCGTCTACCTTGAACCCGACAAAGGGGTTGTTTTCTGTCGCTTTGACGACCCTTGCCAATTAAGTTGGAGCGCGTTTCATTCACCTGTTGTATGGAGAGCTACGATTCCAGGACTTACTGACCCGTATGCGTTGGCTAAGAGCTGACTAATAGTCTTCTATCTGCCCAGGCCCCAGGTATTGCGATCCAATTTGATTCTGATCATGGAATTTGTCACAGGCAAATAGATCAAGGTGGTAGCTCTTGGTAGGTCAAACGAGTTCTGTCCGATTTGCCCACAGTCATCAAATCCAGGATCGATCCAGTTTCTTGCAGTCTTTTCTTGCACACAATCTGATACAGAATATGAGGCCCAGTGCGCAAATAAGCGTTTGCCATGGTTTGCCCTGGCTTCATTTTAAGTGGCATTCATGTTTTTTTGTTTTAGCAGAGGTTGACAAAAGATCAGACATTCATTCTGAGATGCCTTCTCAAGCGGGTCTTCACCACTAACCATGTTGGAGAGTCATTTCCTTTTGTGCAGAAGTGTTGCAGCAATTTCGCGGCAACCCGGCAGCCGCATTTTTGAGACGCACGGGGCCATCTTTGGACTTGTCGGCTGACGGCTGGCGCTTGGAATGGCATCAGGATGTTAGTAAGGCAAAGGTTAAGAACACATCTTTGAACGCGCCCAGGAAAGGCGCCATCAGGCCTACAAGCACAATTCCAAAGATGCCTCTGTCGCGGCATCTATTTTAACTCCTCCATGCGCACGCAACAGAATAATTGACCATTGTATAGAAGGCTGCATCCCGCGGCAATCAAACACATTGTCCTGCGGAATAATCCCGCAGCAAAGAGTGAAGTGCTCATGCGATCTGCAAGAGATGACGTGTTAAGGTTGTGTCTATAAGACTTGAACTTCCGACTCTTGCCAAGGCGAGTTGCCTGGCCACTGAAGTCCCTTCTTATGTTGTGTGGGGCATGCACCCCACCCGCTTGTCTTCTGCCCATGCTTTTTATTGTGGCTATGAACACTGACCCAGTAGGATCGTTGGACCCTTGCCAATCAAACATGTTTATCTTGCAAGTGTGTGCTTCATGCATCCAATTAAGTAAACACTTTGACCGTGAAGGAGCCTTGACACATCATCTTGTTTAAACACGCCAACGTGGTCAGCCATCAATCGTATGTTTCATTAGAGACTTGCTCCGGAGCACTAGGATGGCCATACAACTGGCACAACCTGGCACATAGACGAACATCAGGTATCATTGTTGACCATTGTCGGAGGGCCGGCAGAACGGAGAGGCAGCCGGCAGTTTCGTGAAGTAAGCATTCACGCGGCAACAAATCGACGCACACTGAACCTAGAAACGAAAGCTGTTTGATAGGGTCTGGCCAGACCACCAGGCCTCTGTGATGTTTTGTTTGGCTTTGGCGGCTCATAGGGTCGTTTGCAAGTGGCTGCCTGGCAGGAGGTCCTCAGCGGCATGGTGGAGCAGCCGGATGCCCGAGTTTAGTCCTCTACGACATGGATAGTAGAGACTTGCAGTAAAGCAACACTGTAGCTTAGGAGAGTTTCACTGGCCCGTTGCTACTTTTGGTTCGCAAGATTCATTTGCATGCAGCGATTCGGCATAGAAACTTGCTCGCTGGACTTGACTAAGAGTTGGAACAGCATCCACGCCATGTTATTTGCCTGTTGTGAAGTGTGACGAGCCTGGAATTTGGATATATGTTTGTGTGTTTGCTTGTTATGGTCTTGGCTGGATATATATATATATATACGTATATATATATATATACATATATGTATAATATATATATATATATATATATATATATCTCACACAAGAACAAGCTGCACCACATCACATCTTTCACTTGAGTCTCATGAGAGTGCGTGTTGAGCACTATACAGATGAGCAATTCATGTTCAGAAGCAGCACCCGTTTACACATTCAAAGCCGACAGTTGCTGAGGACAAGGATGAGTGAGCTTCCTCCGGACGAAGATCGTCAGGAGATTTGATGGAAGCATCGTTAAGCCTGATGACGTACTGCCGAACATTTCCCACGAGGCGCCTCATGATGCGAGAAAGCTCACGCTGCCCCCCTTTCACAGATGACCAAACTGTGAGTGTGCAGGCCTGGTGCCGTCCATGGCCATGTCAGAAGAAAAGCCCAGATCTGTTTAAAGGAGGATGACCCTTGGCTTCACCAATGACTGCTAGCGCAAGGCCTCACTTCGATCTTTACCTGCGTTTGATTAGAATCCTCAGAGTCCTTGCCAGTCTTTGACTCGGACTTCGTAGCGTCGCTATCAACCTGGAAGTCATGGGATCTTATCCCGAAGGCACAGGTGCTAGGTCAATAGACCTGGGGTGCGTTGCTCGCTTTTTGCAAATGAGTTCGACCCGGTTCTTTGTCTATCGGTTCAATCCAACCATCCCCAGACTTGTTGAGTTGACCTTGGTGCAGGTTGCACTTTTTCGGGGCTTTTGCGCAAGTGACGTGGCGACGGGCCAAATTTGTGATAACCCCCACAAGCAGCGGAGGTCAGTACTCGTTGTTTGTTTGTGTTGTTCACGCTCGTATACTCTACAAATGTGGCCACTAGATGGGTCTCAAACAACTCCTTTGCGTCCCTCTCTCATG